CCCCCCCCCCCCCAAACTTCAGCAAGAAAAATCTCACTGCTTTGGTGTTTACTAACCACGTTAGTGTCAAAATACAAGTCCCAAAGAAGAACAACCTCGTCAAGCTATATCAGCAATTCAAAATAGTGTAAAATTAGAGGAAATTACCACTGGGATTGTTTTACCTCCCTGAGGTCAAACCCATTCACTGTCACCAAGCACCCACCTTCTGGGGATAAAACTCCCACTTATTCTCCCTTATGCTGTATCCCAGCCTGAGTGTGGGCACCAAGGGCTCTCTCTCTTTATCAGGAGGGAATGTATTCTCCCTGCCTTTCTTGGAGTCCAATAAGTGGAGACAATGAGCAGGCAGTAAATGTTTACCAAAAAAACCCAGGAAATTACACACTCAGCTACACACATCAACAACCTCTCCTTCCCTCTCATGCACGCATGCACGTGCACACACATGCAATGGCAGAAGTCAAGTCAAACCTTCCTAAGTCCTGTCCCCCACATCCTTCCCCATCTACTCACTTCATCTTCTCATCTGCTTTGAAGACAATACAAGTCCAAAAATTTTGCCCCAAGTCTTCATCCCACCAAATACCCAAAACGACTTGGGACTTGGTTTCTTCAGCAATTCGACTAGATGACTGTGGCCCTTCTGTTATTTGCTGTCACCCCATGGTGGGATATGACAGACTGCGTGGCTCTGAACAAGACATCAACTCATGAATCTTTCAGGTGAAACAAACGTTAATCTGCACCTGCCAACGTACACGTTGTTTTTTAGTGATTTTTATTTTTTAGCTTTTAAATTTTGCCTGACTTTTTGGAAAGGCTGAATAATTAAAAATAACAGCTACCATTTTTCAGCAATTATTATAGTCCAGGCACTTTACTAACTGCATTACAAGCACTATCTCAGTTGCTAACACAAGATAAGGTGGTCATCCTCACTTTACAAATGTGGAAACTGAGACTGAGCCACATTAAATTGCCCTAAGGCACCTAACTAGAATGAAAGCCAGGTCTAACTCCAAAGTCACTTGACTACACTACGCAATTTCCCTCCATTGAAGAATTTGTCTTTGGGACTCTTCTTATGGAAAAGAATCTAGGTGCTAGCTTCCCAGAATTGCAACTACTGTTTGAGAATGTACTTAGATGACACTCATTAGCATCTGAGCCTCACCAGGTCACATTCCTCAAATACTAAGTCAAAGGATTGAGCAATTGTTAAAGCCCAGCCAGTCTAAGGAAAATTATCAGAAAAGAAGCCCCACCTCATCCAACCTGGGCTGGAAATCAGGCAATGGAAAACTAAAGGCTTTTCTGAGCACAGGACATCTGTCAGTGGTGCCCGTAGGAGATGCCGGAAAAGGTCAGGTTGCTTTTTGAAAGCCGAAAGTAAACCAGGGAACCCATACACACATGATTGTTTCAAAGTTTTACTAACAACTGATACACAAATGAAAAAAACAAAACAAAACTGGTATACACACACATGAATTAAGTTCTTCAGTCAAAGTCTGCCGACTGCTTACTCTGTGCTGAGCTGGGATACAATGTGAGCAAGATCAAGTTGCATAGTGTTGAATAACAGGTCTTACCATTGAGTGCCAGGGACTGTGCCTAAAATTTCCATTTTAATTTTTTTTTTTTTACTTAACTATCCAACACCCTATGAGGAGGATATTACACTGGGCTCCACAAGGACAGGATTTTTTTTTTTCTTTTCTTTTCTTCCCCACTACTCAGGAACTGGAATAGTACCCATCACGATGCCAGAGTCAAATACTGAATCTGTTGATAAATATAATCCCATTTTGCACACGTGAAGTCTGAAGTCAAGGAATTTATCCAGGTTGGAACAGCTAGAAGGTATCAGAATGAGGATACAAATACATCTATTAGGTTTCCACGTTCCTCCTGTTGAACACCTGGCCACCCTTCTTCTCAAACGGAGATACTGCCAACTTCACTCTAGAAGCAGGGATATTCAACCCAATCCTCCCACACTCAGACTGAAGCTTAAACATGCATGTGCGCGCGCGCACATACACACACACACACACACACACACACACTGTGTGGGGAATGGATAACTTGACCAAGAATGTGGCATACTATTTGCTGCCTTTTTAAGCTACCGCCTTATTTAAACTCCAAGTTCATCAACTCAACTTTGGGAATGAGAGAACACGAACCACTCCCATCTGGCATCAAGAACAAGAAATCTCCTCCATTCTATTATTCAGAGAACAAGCTAAGATCCACCTATGTGGCCCGGCATCAGGTTAAGGTTGGGATTTTCAAAGCGTCTCTTAGTAGAGAAGAGAAACCCTAGGGAGGAGATCATAAGTCCCAGTCCTGCTATGGCAGAACCCTACCCTCCCTATGGAGCAAGAGTAAGGAGATGACGCGATTGGTCAAATAGTTGACAGAAAAATAACCCCACCAACTAGCCTTTAAGATTTGCTGAAACTATGATATAAGTCAGAAAAATTCTTACACATTAAGTGCAGCCTGGCAAAATTACGAATTTAAGACCTGATTGTGATATGAGTGTAGGAGAAAATATTCTGTACCAGGTTAAAAAAAAAAAAGATATTGCTCTAATAATGTACAAAGAATATGGGAGGGAAAGCATAGAACAAGCAAAAGAATGTGAACACCTCTCTGAAGGTTATAAATTACTGCAGAATGCAGAATAGGAATGTCTTTTTAAAAAAAAAAAAAAAGGTTTCCTTCTCATCAACCCTGATAAAATGCCACCCATCTCATTAGACTTGAGGATGGAGTATTAAGAGACAGAAAAAGAGGAGGAAGGACAAGTGGGATTTGAAGGAAAGAAAGGTATTTGAGAAATCTGCTCCAATTAGATATCACCCAGGTAGCAAAACTTATTAGAATGATCCTCCAGCGGAGCAAGAGTTGAATCCCTCTCAACTTTGTCAGGGGAGACAGGGTACACTCACACAATAAGTAAACCATCAATTCCCAGAAACAGTCTCCTAAAAGTGAAAGCAGTGAGATAGACAGCAAGGGGGACTAGTGTGCCAAGGAAAGCCACGTGTTGAGTGGTCAGGCAAGACTGGTGGGGGACTTCCAATGGCACCTGCAAGATGATGGAGAAAATTCCACTCTGGATTTGGTGGAGAAAACAGGGCAGGGATGAGAATCCCTGGGTGCATCCACCTGGCTGGGATCTGGGCAGGAAACAACAGAGGAAAGCCCATTGGAAGGGCAAGTTGAAGGAGACTGTGGAAATCTAAATTTCAAGCTACACAGTCAAGATTTTCTTCTGCAGGAAATGGGTACCACAAAAGTTTCTGAGCAGGAGAGTGACCCAATGAAGGCATTCTAAGAAGAATTCATTTGATATTAGCATTTAACAGACTGGTATGTATGTAGATAATAAAGGGAGGTATAAGACAAAGTCTGGAAGCAGCCTGGTTAACGTGCCTGTATTCCTAGACTGCACAATGAGAACAGGACCCATGTCTGGAATAAAAACAATCTGAGAATAAGAATGCAGACTCCAGAGTCAGACCAAGGGGCTCCAATCCGACTCTACCACTTACCAACGGAATGGTCATAATCAGGTTACTTCCTCTCTTTAGCCCCATTTCCTCATTCACAAGAAGCGGGCAGTAACTGACCCCACCTCACAGGGTTGCGGTGAGGATGAAATGAGTTAACACACATAAAGCACTTGTGCCTGGCACATGGAGAAGGCTACACCACGTGTTACATCTCAGCAGCAGTAACGTATTGACAGCTGTATTCCCAACAGAATACACAGCACAGGTTGCGCTTCAAACATACTTTAAATGAACAAGAGAAGAGTCTGTGCCAGAGAGAGAAGATAGTGAGTGTGGCAAAACATAAGCTGACACGGTTTTGAAGGAAGAATCCGGGGGATTTAATAGATACCAGGACAAAGAAGGTAAGTCAAAGATGGTGATGTTCTGTGCCTGGATAAGCTAGAGTTCTAGTAACATTAATAGACCAAGAAGCTGAATGGAAAGCTGGTTTGGCCAGAGAAGAAAGTGGGAAACAATTAAAATTAACCAAATGAAACAGGGGACATTATCTCTCCTCCTTCCATGTAATACTAATAATGCACCCACTTTATAGGATGCCAAAATTAAGACTTCAAGACCAAGACTTAAAATGAAAAATAATTTTAAATGGAGAAAGTCAAGCATACACATTTAACAGTGGCCCTGTATCTCAATTTTGTTGGTTTTTTTTTAAGCTTGTTTGTTTAATTTTTTTTTCTTCGTTTTTATTTATTTTTGGGACAGAGAGAGACAGAGCATGAACGGGGGAGGGGCAGAGAGAGAGGGAGACACAGAATCGGAAACAGGCTCCAGGCTCTGAGCCATCAGCCCAGAGCCTGACGCGGGGCTCGAACTCCCGGACCGCGAGATCGTGACCTGGTTGAAGTCGGACGCTCAACCGACTGCGCCACCCAGGCGCCCCAAAGCTTGTTTGTTTTAAAGCAACTTGGTTACCCTAAAACTTGGTGCACTGAAAGCATGTTATACAGTGAAATACCCTCTTTATGATCACAGAATAAAGATGCAACTTCAGTTACAGCAGGAACTTCCTCTCATCTCTAAGACTATATGAAGGTATTTTTAGCAAGGTATTTATTTTTGTGTTCCAGAAATAACATCTTTTTAAAAAATATTGTTTAATTTTTAATTTCTATTTTTTAGAGAGAGAGAGCAAGTAGGGAGAGGGACAGCGGGAGAGAGAGAATCTCAAGCAAGCTGCATACTCAGCATGGATCCCACAACCCTGGGATCATGACCTGAGCGGAAATCAAGAGTCGGACACTCAGCCGACTGAGCCACCCAGGTGCCTCCAGAAATAACATCTTTATAAACATCTTTACATGGATAACAGAATGATTATTGTCAATGGAACCAAATACCCCAAATCAGTAGAGTTTCTAAAAGGGTATGCATTTTAAATGTAGTTACCTAGAGAGGCCGCCCCCCCCCCAAAAAAAAAAAAAACTGGTTCCAAACCACAGTCTCAAAAACTAGATGACAACTTTGATGGCTGTAGTGATGCTGGTGATTAAGTCTCAAGGATATAAGGGCGCCTGGGTGGCTCAGTTGGTTAAGCGTCTGCCTCTTAATTTCAGCTCAGGTCATGATCTCACGGTTCGTGAATTTGAGCCCTGCATCAGGCTCTGTGCTGACAGTCCAGAGCCTGCTTGGGCTTCTCTCTCTCTTTCTCAAAAATAAATAACTTAAAAAAATATGAAACTCAACAGAAGATCCCAGTGTGTAGCCTTTGTGTGCTCCTGCTAGATGGGGTGGAGGTGGGTAAGCGTTTACTTAAAGCACTTAGCTACTGATGGAAGGGAGACAGTGTTCTGATAAATCCCAACACAGAACAGTCAAAAATGCGGATTTCAAAAGTGTATTTGAATGAAGATGAGAAATTCGAAGGACACCATCACCTGGGATTGAGCAGATTTTGCCAGTCTACGTGCTTCACTCGGATACAGAACTCCACCCCCACCCCCCACAGACATACAGGTCTACTATTCTATACAGATCTATGATTTATCTGTATTTACCTCATAATCCCTTACTAAAACACGGTCCTCATCAAAACTGAACTTCAACCTACCCTCTGCCCTCCAGAGTCAACATAATTTTACAGTTTTATGAACTTGAGTGTGGACTTTTCAGAACAAAAGTTAAAGGCGGAACACCTGAAAACTGTTTCACCTTGTGGTAAGGGGAAAAAAAAAAAAATCCCCGAACAAACTGATAATGTGAATTACCTGCGTGGTGACCATGGCTATCTTCAAAATCTGCAGTCCCAGCTTCCATGGGATCTGGTGTCGGGCTCGGTATTTTTCACAAGGGTTCATGAAATAAAACTTCAGGTCTTCCCGCAGACACTCCTCTTTCACCTCAGAATCAAGATGAGCCATTGCATTTCTGCCACACAAGACCAATTTTTAAATTAGCAGAACATCTTGTTCATCAGACAGTTTCTGAATAATGCTTTCCATTCGTGTTCTTTACCCATTCTTACAAGCAAAATTCTCTCTCCAAACAGTAACCTCCTTTTCTCTTCAGAAATCTGAAAATTATTCAGGACCCTCTCTCACCTGCCTTTCCACATAGTTTTTCATCTTGTTCAAAATAGCCATTCTCAAAAAATTTGTAAGAACAGGATTTTATTTGCAAGACTCATCAATTCCTACCTCTCAACATATAGCATTCACCTGTCACTGGAATACTAACAAAAACTAGATGGGATAGTTTCATGATACTCCAGGTATGAAACCACAGAAATTTAGCAAGAATTATATTGCCATGAAAATAGAGAATCTTTGTTCTATAATGCTGTACTCAATGATTATGCCCCTTCTTTTGATTATATAGCAGTGAGTATAAGATTCAAAACGTAGATACCTTTAAAAAGTTAAAATAGTATCTGTTTATGCCTAGTCAATTATTTGTGTCACCTTACATTAGTAAAGTTTTCTTTTACTATTTTGAGGACAGTGGGCTCAGAAATGGGCATGTGACTCAAGCTAGGCCAAAAAGAACCAATGAGTTATGGTCACAAGACTGTGATTATATCTGATGGGAGAAACGCCATCCTTCCACTAAGTCGTTGTCGAATTGGGGCGTGCAAAACAATCCACTGGCAGTATAGAAAGTATTAGTACTTCTATTTTATTCTTTCTTTTTTTAAATGTGTTTTATACTTTAATCTTTTATTTTACATAAACTCTACACCCAACGTGCGGCTCAAACTCACTACCCTGAGATCAAGAGTCATATGCTCTACTGACCCAGCCAGGTGCCCCTATTTTATTCTTTACCTTAAAAAAAAAAAAAAAAAAAAAAAAAAAAAAAAAAACTGAACTCTACTAATAATTAATACAACATGGAATAACAGTGGTATATAATGGCATATAATTTATAAATAAACATAAACACATGGAGAACATGTGCTTAACTTTTACCATTGGATATATAATCAACAAAGTTTGCAGATCATAGACTTAGAGCAAAGGCTGTGAGTCTGGAGTCTGTGAAAGCCACCTTGCCATCACAAGAGAGCAAGTCAGAGAGTGAAGCTAACACAGAACAGACAAAAGATAGACACTAAGCCTAATGGCAATACTTGAGTTCCTTGATCCAGCTGTACCTGAAGCCATTCATCTCAAGACTTTCAATTTGAGCTAATAAATACTCTTTGGGGCTTAAGCTAGTTTAAGTTAGACTTCTGTTTCTCACAACAGGAAGTGTCTTGATGGTAAATTTAATGAATAAATTTTACTAAGTTCAGCCAATCACTCAAGGTACTCATCTCTAGGGAAGTTTCTATACTTGGGGGTCATTTGCGGGCATCTTTTCACCTGAAATATCTGAATGACCTATTTTTATACTGACTTCAGATCTACATTATCTACCCCAATTAACAAGTTTTAAAGAAGACTAAAAAGGAAAGACTATTTTAAGGCTTATATTAAGACCATTTAAGGCTTATACTCAGTTAATAATTTTCTATTTTTAAATTGATTTTTAGACCTTCTATTTCCAGAAATAGTAGGCTAGGTTATTCATAATTCACCTGCTGGGCAGAAGGAAGGGAAAAAAGGAAGGAAGGAAGGAAGGAAGGAAGGAAGGA